CTCGGCGCGACGACCAAGTTCCTCACGAAGCACTCGAACCGGCCCTGCTGCTTCGAGGTCCAGACCGCGCGACGCCCGCGTTCGCCCGCGACCGCCCCCCTCCCGACACCCCCGCACCGCGCGCAGGCCGCGGGGAGCGACGACCGCAACTACTACGACACGGCGACGGCGACGTGGTCCCGCGCGCCGCCGGCCGGCGCGCCGCGCTGGTACTGCATGACCAACGACGACGCCGTCGCCTACTACTGGCACTCCCTCACCGGCGACACGGCCTGGGACCACCCGGGCGAGGACGTCTGGCGCGAGTGCGCCGCGCCGGACCTCCCGGGCCGCAAGGTCTACTCCTGGGCCGGCCCTGCCGCGGCGTCGGGCTGACGCGCGCCTCGTAACGAGCGTCCGCCGGCGAGCGAGAGAGCGTCCGGCCGCGGGTAGTCACACTTGTAGTCACTGCGCTAGGAGCGTCAACTGAGTTCAACATCTGCGATCGAAATCATGATGCTCAGTTTTCCATATATATATGCGTGAGTTGTGCGTGCCGGTTCCCCCGCCGTACGGAAATTAAATGGCTGTCGTCGCGCGAGCGGTGCAGAGGGAAGCATTGACACGGGAATGAGTGGCTCAGCTCGCGCGAGCGCGCCCGAAGGGCGCGCTCTCGCCGCGCCGCAGGCAAGCCCCCCCTTGGGGGCAGGGGTAAATGCCGTCGCGTCTTGTTACCACAAGACAAGAGGCCTCGCCACGCCTGCTGTAAAAACGAGATGGCGGCGGACGGCGACGACGAGCAGGCGTCGCTCGTGCGCCTCGCGCAGGAGCTCACGGGCATCGTGCCGCGGCTGCAGAAGCTCGCCGCCCGCGGCGCCCTGCCGGCGGCGGCGCGCGGGACGGCCTGGCGCCTCTTCCTGCGCGTCGTGCCGCCGCAGCAGCCGGACCGGTGGGCCGCCGCCGTCGCGGGCAAGCGCGCGGCCTACGACACGCTCCGCGCCGCGGCGCACGCCGCGCTGCACGAGGCCATGGCGCAGGCCCTCGACGACCACAACGGCGGCGCGGACCGCGGCGACGACGGCGACGACGCGGGCGCGGCGCTCGAGGAGGCCGCGGACCAGATCCGGCGCGACTGCGAGCGGTGCTACCTCGAGGGCGCCGGGGACCACTTCCTCGAGCCCGCGCGCCAGCAGCTCATGTTCGGCGTCTTGCTGACGTGGGCGCGCGCGCACCCCGAGCCCGGCTACCGCCAGGGCATGCACGAGGTGCTCGCGCCGCTCGTGCTCGCCCTCGAGGAGAGCGGCGACGCGGCGGCGCTCGTCGTGCTGCCGCCGGAGAACGCGCTCCACGCGCTTTTGGACGACGCGAAATATCTCGAAGCGGACGCCTACGCGCTCTTCGACGCCTTGATGGCCGACGTCGCGCCGCTCTACGCGACGGGCGGGTCGTCGGCGGCGCCCGTGCTCGCCCTCTGCGAGCGCGTCCAGGGCGCGGCCCTCCAAAACGCGGACCCGGAGCTCGCGGCGCACCTCAACGCGAGGGGCGGGAAGACGGAGGTGCTGCCGCAGGTCTACATGCTGCCCTGGCTCCGCCTGCTGTTCGGCCGCCAGTTCCCCGTGGGCTCCGTCCTCGTGCTCTGGGACGCCTTCTTCTCGACGGCGCGCGACGACCGCGCGGGCGCCGCGGCGTCGCACCCGACGCTCGCGCAGTGGCTCGAGGCCGTGGCGACGCTGCTCCTCGTGCTCGACCGCGAGGCGCTTTTAGCAAGCGACGCGGCGGGCTGCCTCCAGCGCCTCCTGCGCTACGAGGCCCGGGAGCCGACGTTCGTCGCGCTCGTCGCGCGGCGTCTCGTCGACAGCGACGGCGCGCTGGACCCGCTCATCGCGTCGCTGCGCCAGCACGCGGCGCTCGCCACGGTCTTCCCGGACTGGTTCGTCTCCGTGCTCAGCAGCCTCGGCGTCGTCCGCGCGAAGCCCGAGGCCGCGGCCGGCGACGAGCCGAGCTACGCGGCCTCCGCGCTCCGCCTCGGCCAGACGGCCCTCTGCATGGCCTACGACCCCAACGACGACGCCGTCCTCGAGGGACACCCGCGCGCGCCGCCGCCGCCGCCGCCGGCGAAGACCGCGGCGTAACACGAAGAAGTGCAACGTCGGTCCACGAAACTGCAAGGTTCGAACGGATTTCGTCTCTTCTTTGGGGGCTGCCTCGCATAGTGTACTGCCGCCGGTCGGATCCGCGTCGTCGCGGCGCTCCGATGGAGGGCGCGACGAGCATCGCGTGGTACGCCGCCGCCGACTGGAGCGGGAACGGCGCCGGCTACGGAACTCGGCCGGTGGCCGCGCCGACGGCCGCCGTCGAGGCCCTCGTCTGCTCCGACGCGGTGCCGCCGTTCACGACCGTGTGCCTCGAGGAGGGCACCGCGGCGGCCCACGTCGACGACTGCATCGACGACGTCGCCTTCGCCGCGGCCGCGGCGTCCGCGCGCGAGACGCGCCGCCTCCGGCGGCGCTGGCGCGCGGGCGCGGTCGCGTCCGCGGCGCTCTGCGCCGCGGCGCTCGCCTTCGCGCCGGCGCCCGCGGCGCCCGCGGCGGCGGGCGCCTGGCCCGCGTCCTACGACGCGCTCCCGCGTCCCATCGCGCCGGAGCTCCGGCCCGGCTAGCTTTCGTTCCGCGGGAGAGGTTATACGTATGCGCACTAGGAGGGGAAAACGGGGGGGGGTTCCTACACAACATCGCCGCCGTCGTCGAGGAGCGGCGCGGCGAGGGTCTCCGCGGCGACGACGGCGTCGGGCCGCGGCTTCGCCTGCGACTCCACGCCTCGCGCGTCGCCGCGGAGGCGCCGGAGGAGCGACGCCGCGGGCCGCCGGCAGAGGCCCCGGCAGAGCTCGGCGAGGAGCGACGGCCGCGGCGGCGGCGCGCCCTCGGGCGTTTGGGCGCCGTAGGCCGACGCCGCGCGGTCGCGCGCGCGCGCGTGGCCCAGCTCCGCGGCGCGGGTCCAGCACTCGAGGGCCGCGTCGTCGTCGCGCGGGCCGCCCTCGCCCTTGCGGTGCATGGCCCCGAGGCGGTAGAGCGCGTCGGCGTCGCCGCCCGCGCCCGCGCGCGCGTACCAGTCGCGCGCCCTCGCCGCGTCGCGCGCGTCGACGCCCCCGCGGCCCGTCGCGTGGAGGTAGGCGAGCTGGGCCTGGGCCGCGACGACGTCGCCCTCGGCGGCCTGCGTCAGGTATCTCAGGGCCAGGGGCCGGTCCCGCGCGCAGCCGACGCCCCGGGCGTACATGAGCGACGCGTTGAAGGCCGCGTGCACGTCGCCCTTGGACGCGCCGTCGACGTAGGTCTGGAGGACGTCGGCCATCGCTGTTTCAGGGGTGTGGTTCGGGGGTCGGCGGCGCGGCGGCGGCGCGCCCTCCCGCGGGGTTCCGGCGCGCACGATGTGCGCTTCTCGAGAAAGGTTGATTGCTGAGCCGGCGGCACCTTTCACGGCATGGTTCAACATGCCGTGCCGAAGACCCAGGCCCGGGATCTAGGCCCGCCCGGGTGTCGATCTGGGCTGCCGTCTAAGAAGCCAATCTCCGTCGCGTCTGCCGTCTAAGAAGCCAATCTCCGTCGCGTCGATGGCGCGCGCGCGCACGGCCCTCGCAGTGATGCTCCGCGCGGCCGCGGCGTACGACAACGGCGGCTACGCCGCGAGGCCGCCCCTGGGCTGGCAGAGCTGGTGCGCCGTGGGCAGCTGCGGGACGGATCACTGCTTCGACAGTCAGATTCGGGAGACCGCCGACGCCATGGTCGCCAACGGCATGCTCGCCAAGGGCTACGAGTGGATCGTGCTCGACGACTGCTGGCATCCGACGCGCGACCAATCCGGCGACCTCGTGCCGTCCCCGACGTTCTTCCCGGACGGCATGCAGCCGGTGATCGACTACGTTAACGCCAGCGTCGAGCGACAGCAACGTTTTTTCGCCTAAAGATGTGAAGAAATCCGACCCCGTCATGCTTGGTAGGTCCACGCCAAGGGCTTCAAGTTCGGCCTCTACACGTCCGTCGGCACGGAGACGTGCCACGGCGGCTGGTCGCCCGGCAGCTACGGCCACTACGAGCGCGACGCGCGGCTCTTCGCGGCGTGGGCCGTCGACTGGGTGAAGATGGACTGGTGCGGCGACGAGCGGTCCGCGGAGGGCCACGCGAACTTCTCCAGAGCGCTGAACGCGACGGGCCGCGAGATGATCCTGGAGTTGTGCCGGGGCCCCTACGCGGGCGAGGACGGCTGGGGCTACGCGCCGCAGATCGCCCAGGTCTGGCGCGCGGCCAAGGACCACCACGACGACTTCTCCAACACGCTGTCGCAGATCAACGCGCTCGCGGCGCACCCGGACTGGTCCGGGCCCTTCGGCTGGGCCTACGGCGACATGATGATGACGGGCGGCGAAGGCTGCGACCCCTACGACCCGGCCGTGCCGACGCACTGCCCGAAGCAGACGGACGCGGAGTACCGCACCGAGGCCGCGTCGTACGCCGTGCTATCGTCGCCCATGATGGTCGGCACGGACGTGCGCAACATGACGAAGATCATGGAGGAGTTGTTGCTCAACGACGAGCTGCTCGCCATCCAGCGCGACGTCGCGCACAAGGCGGCGAAAATCCGCTGGTCGCGCGGCGGCGGCGAGGCGCTCGTCCGCGCGCTCAAAGACGGCGGCGTCGCCGTCGCCCAGTCGAACCTCGGCGAGGAAGCGAACGTCACCGTCGTCCTCGACGACCTCTGCGCCCACCCCCCCTGCGCGTTCGCCGTCCGCGACGTCCTCGCGCGGCGGGACCTCGGGACCCACACCTCGGAGCTCGTTCTCCTGGTCGGGGCGCACGACACGGCGCTCCTGAAGCTAAATTAAGCGCCCGCCCCGTGCCTAGTGAAGGACGGGCGCCCCGAGATGTTCTTGCGCATCATGCCGAGGAGCTGGAGGCCGTGGCTCCGCACGGAGCCCGCGGGCCCGGCGGCGAGGCTCGACGACCGCCGGAGCCGCGCGGCCGCGTCGTCGTCGGAGTCGTCGGACCGCTCCGCGTGCTCGTCGATCATGCGGTCGTGCTTGCCCGGCTTGTAGCCGAGGTGCTTCATGAGGGGCCGGTGCTGGCGGTGCGCCTTGGCGAGCTCGAGCATGAGCTTGGGCGTGCGGTACGCCTCCGCGGGCAGCGCGCCCACGCGCGGGTCGTTGGACGCGCCGACGACGCGGAGCACGTCGACGCGGAGCGCCTCGCCGTTTTGCGCGGACGTCACGACGCACGAGTCGAGGAGCGCGCACGCCGCGTCGCCCGACGCCGGGAAGGGCAGCGCGCGGCGCATCGTCGGGTTCAGGTCGTGCGTCATGAGGATGACGATCGTGCCGGCGAGCGCCGCCGCGACGCCCGGCCATAGGACGTCCCGCACGAGCGCGCCCTCGTCCACAAAGGCCGAGTAGTGGGGCTTCGTCGCGTCGAAGAGCGCCACGTCCGCGTCCTGCCAGTCCCGCTTGAAGAGCCGCGCCGAGTCGTGGGCCTCGAGGCGCGGCGGCTTTTCGTCGTCGCCGCCGCCGCGCGTCGCCCGCCGCCGCCGCGCGAGGCGCTGGTCCCGCTCCCGGAAGAGCGCGGCCGCCCGGCCGCGGCCCTCGGCCAAAGGCTCGAGCGTCGCGCAGCAGGCCCAGGGCAGGAACAAGCTCGCCGCGAGCGCCGCGCGGCCGTCGCTGCCCGTGAGGTCGCAGAAGCGGCGGCCGCCGGGCCGCGCCTCTTTCGAGAAGTCCGCGTAGACCTGGAGCGCGAGGTCCAGGAGGAAGAAGCGCGTCTCGTCGAGGTGGGAATCGTCGCGCACGAGGTCCCGGGGCGGGCCGACGGCCCGCTCGGCCGCCTCGGCCGCGGCGACGCTTTCGCAGAGCTTGTTCACCGTCCGATAGATGGAGATGGCCCGCGAGCAGGCGCCGCCGTCGATGTCGCCGTAGGCCGCCGTCATGGCCGTCACGCCCTCGGACGTGCCCCGCTGCATCGTGCCGCCGCGGACGCCCGAGTCGGGCTGCCCGAGGTCAGATTGCTTCACTCGGGCTGCCCATCGTGGCGCTGCCCACAAAAGGTTTGTTGATGAAGCCCACAGTGCTTTTCTCCGGACGAAGCAGCCCGGGCGCCGCGGGAGGCCACTCGACCATGGCCCTGGCGCGGCAAGAGACGACGGCCCTCGCGGGCGGCGGGCGGCGCATCCTCGTGATCTGCCCCATGGCGAACGGCATCGACAACGAGCTCGAGTTCCACGTGCCGGCGAAGCACCTGGCGAAGAAGACGCCCTGGCTCGCCCTGTCGGCCATCCGCGCCCTGAAGAAGAAGGCCGGCGCCAACGGGCCGACGGTGCGCGAGACGGGCGCGAGCATCTGGCTCCAGCGGCCCAGCGGCGAGCGCATCGAGCCCACGGCCTGCGTCGGCGACATCACCGACGGCGCGACGGTGCGCGTCCGCTGGCGGAACCCCGACGGCCTCGAGAACGACGGGTCGTCGAGTGCGCTGTCCAAGTGGGACTTCACGTTCCGCGACGCCGAGGCGCCGAAGCGCCTCGACGGCCAGCTGTCCAACTGCTACTACCCCGAGCCCACGAAGCTCTACCCGGACCGGAAGCCTTTGGTCCACAGCCCCTACTCCAAGTCGCTCTACTACTACCTCGAGCGCGAGGCCAACGAGCAGGAGTACCACGGCGAGCTCTCGGAGATCGCCGCCTTCCTCTACGCCAAGGCGAAGCACCAGGGCTACATGATGCGCGTCTGCGAGGTCGACGCGCAGAAGCGCGAGAAGGCGCTCTTCGACGCGCGCGCGGACCACAAGAAGACGAAGAAGCGCCTCGACAAGCAGAACGCGGAGCTCGAGGCCTACCGCGCCAAGCTCGCGGACCAGAAGGCCGAGATCGAGCTCTACAAGAAGTCGCTGCTGGGCGCGCGCGCGGAGGCGTCCGCGAAGAACGCGCGGGCCCTCGGCCGGGCCGCGGCGGCGACGGCGGGGCCCCTCGACCTGGCCGCGGCGGCGACGGCGGCCGAGTAAGCGAGGGACGATGGTGGCGCGCGCCTTCGTTCCGTCGGCGCCGCGCGGGAGAAGGCTGGGAGACCCCCGGCGGGCGCCGCGCAGGCCTCCGCGCTGGACAACACACTTTTCGGGGCAGCCCGACACGATGGAATAGGGCAGCCCGACACGATAGGATAGGTCATCTTCCCTAGCCTGACGCGACGCCATGGCCGCCGCGCCGTCGCCGCCGCCGCCGGGCGGCGGTGGCCTGCCCGTGGCGCGGAGCCTGGCCTTCGACATGGACCCGAGGCTGGACAAGGGCCCCATCCTCGACATCGACGAGTACCCGAGCGACGGCGAGCGCGACGCGCCCGGGACGCTGGCGTCGACGCTGCTGTCGCCCTTCACGAGCCCGGCGCGACGCAAGCTCGAGGACGAGGGCGTCGACCGCTCCTGCGTCGACGAGGCGGCGCTCGACGCGCCGCCGGCGGCCGGCGGCGCGCGCGGCGCGGAGTCCGCGGACGCGACGGTCGAGGCGGCCATGCGCCGCGCGGCGGCCGCGCGCGCGTCCTACGAGGCCGTGCGGCCGTCGACGCCGCCGAGCATCGCGACGGCGGCCCTCTACGCGGCGCAGGTCGAACCTCTCGACAGCGCGCCGTCGTCTCCTGTCCCCCGCGCCGCCGCCGCCGCCGCGCCGCCGCCGCCGCCCCTCCCGCCCCTCCCGCGCGCACCGCCGGCGCCGGCGGACGGGCACGCGCGCGCCGCGCTCGCGGCGCTCCTCGCGGCCTTCGACGCGCGGACCGCCGAGGCCGCGCGGCTCCGGTCGCGGCTCGACGCGACGGGCTTCGGCGCCGCGGCGCGCGGGAGCCCCCGGCGGTCCGCGGGCCCCTCGCCGACGTCGCCCCTGTCGCCCCTGTCGCCGACGACGGCGCTGCGGCGCGCCATCGAGCCCCGCGGCACCGCGCGGAAGGACGACGACGGCCGGAGCTGGGTGCTCCGGCCCCTCCGGGCCATCGGCGCCTGCGGCTACGTGTGCGACGCCGACGACGACGCCGACTTCGACTTCGGCGACGGCGCCGCGCCGGACTGGGGGCGCGCGGGCGCGACGCGCCGTCCTTAGTCTAGCCGTGCCCCCGGCCGCGGTGCTTGCCCTTCCTCTTGTCGCGCGCGTCCTTGGCCTTCTGCTTCGCGGCGAGCTCCGGCGGCAGCGTCGTGAACTGCGCGAGCTTCTTGTTGACGAGGCCGCTCTTCGTCGAGTTCCGCGCGAAGTACATGGTGAAGTAGTCGTAGTTGAGCTTGCGGAGCAGGTCCTTGTTGCTCGCGTCGACGGCGAGGAGCTGGAGGAGCCGCTTCCGCTTCTGGTCGTGGAGCCGGCCGCTCGTCGCCGGGCCGTAGGTCTCCCGAATCGCGCGCTCGCCCGTCGTCGCGTTGACGGGCGCGAGCGGGCGGTCGCCGTAGCAGTCGACGTGCGTGACGACCTGCACCTCGTCGCGGAAGACGAGCGTGTCGCCGTCGCGCTTGTAGAGCAGCTGCATGGCCCTATAAGCCTTTTGCGCGTGGTTCATGTTCGCGTACTGGAGCCGGTCGCGCGGCGGCGCGTCGGCCGGCGGCGCGGCGTCGCCGCCGTGGGCGTTGCGCCACTGGGCCGCCGCGCGCGCGTAGGCCGCGCGCTTCGACTCGAGGGACCGCGCGCCGTCGGCCGTGAACCGGAAGTGCGCGAACGCGAGCGTCGGCTCGTGCATCTTCGGCGGCGTGCTCCGCCGGACCCACGCGCGGTGAGAGTCTTTGTAGTAGCAGCCCGTGAGGTGCGAGCTCTCGAAGCGCTGGCGCAGCAGGCCGTGGTCCGACTTGCCGAGGCTCGACGCGCACGTCGCGCGCGTGAGCGCGTGCTTGAAGGGCCGGAGGTGCAGCAGGCAGCCCGTGACGCGGTACGACGCGGGAAATTGGCGAAAGAGGCTCCGCACGCCGATGTCCGCCTCCGTCCAGCGCTGGCCCCAGCCCGGCGGCGGCGGCGGCGTCGGCTCCTCGAGGCGCCAAGATCGAGCGACGCGGTCGAACATCTCGCCGCCGACGAAGTCGACGCGCCTGTCCGGCGCCCAGGGCGCGGCCTTCTCCGGCGAGTCCGTGCCCGCGGCGAGGGCCCTGAGCCAGTCGTTCTCCGGCAGCGACCAGTCGCTGATGATCGCGGCGGCGACGGGCCCGTCGACGGACTGGCGCGCCATGTGGTCGACGACGGGCAGCACGCGGCCGCCCCAGGCGCAGGGGAAGGCGAAGAACTCGTCGACGTCGGGGTAGACGAGCCAGGCGTCGTCGGCGAGCGTCTCCAAGTAGTCGTTGACGGCCTGGACCTTCAAGGACGACGTGTACGCGTCCGTCGACCGGACGGCCTTGCGCGGCACGCCGTAGTCCTTGAAGACGCGCGCCGTCGCGGCGGACGCGTTCGCCTTTCGCGTCGCGTGCACGACGAAGCGGCTCTTCGATTTAAAGTCGAGGCCCGCCGCGGCGTACCAGCGCAGAAAGTGCGCGAGGAGGCTCGGCGAGTCGTCGCGCAGGTAGCAGAAGAGGTGGAAGGCGACGCCCTGGTCGCTGGGCAGCGCGCAGGCCCGCGGCTTCCGGTTCCGCGTCTCGAAGCGGCCCCACTCGATGTCCGTGAGCAGGTGCTCCGGCTTGCCGTAGTGAACGTAGGGCGCGTAGTAGTCGCGCTCGGCCTGGGCCTTCATGGCCAGAAAGGCCGGGTCATTCATCTTGTCGCCGTGCGCCTTGTCGGCGCGACCGCAGCGCGCGACCGACGCGACGAGCGCGAGCGCGCGCATGGCGGACGCGCGCATGGCGGATGCGCGCCGGCGGCCACTCAGTAGAGCGAGGTGCACACCATCAGCCCACAAGATGTGTCGCTTGCAGGTCTTTCGCAGATTGCGCCCATATTTTTTTACCAGGGGTCGAACGTGCCTCGCCAAGGAATCTTGATCAATTCACGATGGAGCTGCCCAAAGCGTGGCGGCGCCGCGCCGCCGCGCTCGCGTGCGTCGCGTGCGCCGTCGCCGCGGCGGCGGCGCTCGCCCGCGGCCGCGCGCGCGCCGCGCCGACCGTGCAGCGCCGCGCGCAGACGCGCGCCTTGCTCTCGAAGCACCACCGCCACCACGCCGAGGCGCCGCTCGCGCCGGCGCCGGCGCCGGCGCCCGGCGCCGGCGGCGCCGGCGGCGCCGGCGGCGCCGGCGAGCGGGCCGCGGAACCTGCGGCTCCTCTACTGCATCACGGCCTACGACCGCAAGCAGCACGTGCACCTGCTCCAGATGATGGGCAGCGTCGTCAGCATGTGCGAGGGCGGCCTTCGCGTCGAACTCGTGCTCTACACGGCGGACAGCAACCCCTACACGGCGGCGCAGGAGCTCGAGATGCGGGCCCTGCTCGGCGGCTGCAGCGGCCACTTCGGCGGGAGCGTCGACTTCGTGTTGAAGGAGGAGCCCGCGGCCGCGCCGAAATCGAGGCTATTCCGACGAAACCTCTCGAGCTCGGTCGCATCGACGTCGATTCGGCCGATTTTCGGACGAATCGATCGCTCTCGTCGAGGTCTCGAAGCACGACTGAAAGCCTCGCGTCGACTACGCTCGCATTGAAGTCGGGTCGAAGATGCGAGGTCGGCCCAGGCCCGCGGACCTCAAGTTCGACATGACGATGCAGCACCGCCACGAGATGCGCAAGAAGCTCCAGGACTTCGACCTCTTCCTCTACGCCGAGGACGACGTCCACGTCGAATTGAGGCACGTGCTCGCCTTCTACGCCGAGAGCTTACGGCTCGCGGCCGCGCCGGACGGCAGCAAGTACGTCCTCGGCTGGCAGCGCTTCGAGAAGAACGGCATCGGCGCGCGCCGGCGCCGCGATAAACCCGCCGGCGCCGCGCCACGCGCCGCGCCGGCGGGGGCGGCCGCGACCGCGCGCGTCGCGCCGGGTCGCGCGCGTCGACAACGCGAAACGGTCCGCAGGCCTCGGCGCGGAGCAGGTCATGTGGGAGAACGGCGTCGACAGCTACCACGCCGTCGAGGTCGGCGGGCGGCTCTACGCGACCATGGTCAACCCCCACGCGGGCGCCTGGATGGTGCGCGCCGCCGTCGTTTTTCTCGGTCCCGGGGAACGGCCCCGCGCAGGCGACGCGCGAGGAGCTCCGGCAGCACCACAAGCAGTGCCACATCCTCAACGTGCCCAAGACCGCGGGGTCCTTCACGCGCGTCCGCGCCGGCGGCTGGAACCTCTACCTGAACTGCGGCCGGCGGAAGGTGCTGCCCGTGGCCAACTTCGCGAACTTCCTCGTGCACCACCTCCCCGACAAGAACTGGTGGCAGCGGTCCGAGTGCGCGATCACCGTCGGGACGCTGCTGTCCCACATGGAGGCGTGGCGGGCCGCCTACGACGCCGGCGACCGGTCCATGGTCTGCGGCGACTGGTGGGGCGACGCCTTCTGCCGCGACGAGATGCAGGTCGTCAAGTCGTCGGAGCGGAAGAAGAAGTACGGCGTCAAGGGGTCGTGCACGGTCTGGCGGAACCGCACGTCGCTCAAGGAGACCATCAACCTGCCCAACGAGAAGATGAAGCGCCTCGGGGACGTCGTCAAGGCCAAGGAGGCCGCGGGCAAGCTCGAGGCGAAGCGGCTCCAGCAGAGGTTCGGCACGCCGACGTCGTCGGGCGGCCAGATCGACGCGGCCCTCGTGCGCCGCGCGGACACGGCGGACACGGCCGTCGGGACCTACTCCTCGAAGCCGGGCACCGCGTGGACGCCCGACGACGGCGCGGGGTAAGAAGTGCAACTTGACGTCAACTCTCGGCGCTCCTCGTCGAGTCCTCGAGCTTTTGGAGCTGTACCAACCGCACCCGCGCCCCACCCGCGCCCGAACGCCGCCTCCCCATGGACCTGAAGCGGCTGCTGGGCGCGCTGGACGTGCTCGGGTGCGTCGCGCTCTACATGGTCGTCGGCCCGGCGCTCATTCTCGTGAACAAGCAGCTCATGACGTCCTACGGCTTCCCCTATCCCATGCTCATCAGCGGCATCGGCCAGGTGTCGAGCGCCATCGGGTCCTTTTTCGTGGTCAAGGTCTTCAAGTGGCAGCCGCTCAGCGACCAGGCCAGGTCCATCTCCTGGGACTTCTACCGGAAGAACATGGTCGTCGTCGGCGCCGCGTTCGCCGCGTCGCTCTGCTTCGGCAACGCGGGCTACATCTATCTCACCGTGTCCTTCGTCCAAATTTTGAAGGCTTTCACGCCCTGCGTCGTCGTGCTCTTCTTATATCTCAGCGGCGTCGAGGCGCCGTCGCGGAACGTCGCGCTTTCCGTCGCGGCCATGTCCGCGGGCACGGTGATCTCGTCGTTCGGCGAGGCCCACTTCAACCTCACGGGGTTCCTCATCATGTGCGCGGCGGAGACGTCGGAGGCGACGCGGCTCGTGTTGACGCAGCGGCTCCTCTGCAACTTGAAGTTCGGCGCGTTCGAGGGCTTGTACCTCATGGCGCCGATCTGCGCGGCGTGGATGTGGGGGCTGGCCCTCTTCCTCGAGGTCCCGAAGCTGCGCGCCTCGGGCGATTTTGCGAAAATCACGGAGAACGGCGACGTGTTTTTGATCGCGGCGCTGCTGGGCTTCGCCGTGAACGTCGCGTCGTTTCTCGTCATCAAGCGGACGTCGTCCGTCATGGTCAAGCTGCTGGGCACGGCGCGCAACGCGGGCCTCGTGCTGTTGTCGGCGCTGGCGTTGGGCGAGGAGGTCACGGCGCAGCAGGCGCTGGGCTACGGCATCTGCCTCGCGTTCTTCGCGGCGTACAACTACTTCAAGCTGACGGAGAAGAAAGACGCGGCGAAGCCGCCGGGCTCGCCGCTGCCGGGCGGCAAGCGCGGCGCCGCGGCGCCGGCGGCGGCGGAGCTGACGCTCCGCGGCGGCCGGTCGTCCCTGGACCTCGAGGCGGACGCGGACGCGACGGAGGGGCTCCTCGACGACGGCGCGGGCCCGAGCCCACGGTGAGGTCGGTCGCGCCTCGACGCCGCGCCGGGCTCGCATGCGATCTGATAAGGCCCGGCGCCTCGTTTTTGTCGACCACTTCGTCGGCCAGCGGTGCCGACAGTGTCCGTGGACGCACTCGTACGAGCGGACGCATGTAACTTGAGGTAGATGGTGAAGCGCCGTTGAAGAGCGAACGATGGGCGCAGCAACGAAAGCATCTTCGGGGCGTGCGCGGCGACGGAGCGCGTCTACGCCGAGGACGCGGCGAACGATGCGAGGCCTCCTCCTCGCCCTCGTCGCCTCGGCGCGCGCCCTGGCGCCCAGACCCTTGAACAGCCGCGACGTGAACCGCTTGGTCGGCGAGGCCCGGGGCTGGGACGACGTCCTCGCCGCGTCGACGCTGCTGCCGCTGGCGGGGGAGGAGACGTGCTCCTGCGAGGCCGACCCGGTCCACGTGCGCAAGCGCCGGTCGGCGCTGAAGCGCGTCTTCGCCAAGCTCGCGCAGAGATGCGTCGGCGGCGGCGCCGCGGCGGCGCGGCGCGACGTCGTATGTGACGGCCGCTTCGCGCGGTGCCTCGCGCTCCTGGCCGAGGACGCCGCCGGGGCGTCCGACGACGCCGCGGCCTGGCGCGCGGACCGGCGCGAGTCGCTCCGCTACGTCGGCGCGCTCGCGCAGGAGCCGGGGCCCTGGGCGGCGCACGGCGATCTACTGGAAGCCGCGTTCGCGCGCGCGGCCGGCGACGGCGACGGCGGCGCCGCGGGCGCGACGGCGCTCCACTGGGCCGCGCGCCGCTGCGCGGCGCGGGGCGCGACGCTCCCGTCGCTCGAACGATTGGCGGCCGCGGAGGCGGCGCTCGGCCTGCCCTTCGCCGTGCGACCCGGGCTGCTCGCGGCGACGCTGCCGGACGTCGGCGCGCTGAAGGCGTCCCTGCCGCTCGCTGCCGAGCGCATCGCGACCAAGGGCGGCGCGCTCGTCCTGGAGCGGCGCCACACGGCCTGGGTCGCCGAGGCCGGCGTCGGCGCGCTCGCGTACAGCGGCAAGCTCATGGCGCCCAAGCCGCTGCCCGCGCCCGTCGCCGTCGCGCGCGACGCGCTCGCGGACGCGCTCTACGGCGACGCGCTCCGCCACGACTGCGCGCTGCTGAACCTCTACGCCAAGGGCGAGAAGGCGGCCTGCAAGTACCACAGCGACCCGGAGCACGGGACCTACTGGCACCGCGAGAACGTCGTCGTGTCCGCGGGCGAGCCGCGCCGCTTCTGCTTCCGGAAGATCGGCCGCGCGGGCGACGACGACCTCCACACGTTCCACCTCTTCCACGGCGACGTCGTCCACATGTTCGGGCCGTGCCAGGACGACTACCAGCACGCGGTCCTCGCCGCGGAGGACGACGACACGAACGACGGCGACCGCGTCTCCATCGTCTTCAAGAAGGCGATCCCCGCGCCGGGGAGCGGGCGCCTCGGCCACGGCGTCCCGCGCGCCGCGACCTCGGCGCGCAAGGCCGCGCCGAAGGCCGCCGCCCGGAAGAAGCCCCGGCGGCGACGAGCGCCCGCGCGGTAACGTTGCCAATGTGTTAGTATCGTGCGCGCGCCTACGCGCCGCGCCGCAGGAGGCGCCAGAGGTCGGCCGCGTCGACGGGCGCCGCCGTCGTCGCGAGGTCGAGGTCCGGCGCGTAGCGCGCGCGGAACGCGGCGGTGCCCGGCGCGAAGGCGACGCCGTGCGCCGCCGCGGCCGCCCGGAAGAGGACGCGCGCGCAGGCCGCGTCCCCCGCCGCGAGGGCCGCCTTGGCCGCGGCGACGCGGAGCGCGACGACCTGCTCGTCGTGCGGCGGTAGCGCGGCGTCCGCGACCTCGAGCGCGGCGATCCACGCGTCGAGCGCCGCGTCCGGGTCCCGGAGCGCGAGGGCCCGCAGCAAGTGTTGCTGGAGCCGGTCGTGGGCGAGGGCGCAGTCGCCGAGGGCCGCGAGGGCCTCGAGGCGCGCGCCGGCGGGCAGCGCCATGAGCTCGCGCTGCTCGTCGACGCCCAGTAGAGGCCGCGCGGCCGCGGCCGGTTGTTCCACGAAATCGAAGTGCGCGAGGGCCGTCCGGGCGGCGTCGCCGTCCGCCAGCAGCGCCGAGTCGCAGTAGGCCATCGTGAGCTCCTCGCCCGCGGCGACGAAGCGGTTCGTGCGGAAGCAGCAGACGTCGCCGACGTGCCAGCGAGCCACGTTCGGGTCGTCGCCGTGGTTGAAGAGGCTCCCCCTGGCGAAGAGCGCGACGCCCGCGAGGCGGTTCTCGGCGAGGAGCGGGTAGGAGAGGCGCTCGCCGCCCGTGTGGCAGTCCAAGGCGTTGTAGCGCGCGACGTGCGGCAGGCGCGCCGCCAAATCCGGAGGCGTCGCCGCGAGCGCCGTTCGCGCGAGGCGGTCGAGGCCCGGCAAGCCGCAGCGCCAGGGCCGCAGAGTTGCCGCCTTGGCGGGCGTCCGCGGGAAGAGGCGTTTGAGCTTTGAGCGCGCGGTGGTCTCGTCCGCCGCGACGAGCGAGCAGAGCCGGAGCACGAGGAGCGCGCCGTCCGCGCCCGCGGCGTCCGCGTCGCCGTCGTCGCCGTCGTCGCTCTCGCCGTCCGCGGCGGCGTCGATCTCGGCGTCGAGGACCATGGCGACCGCCTTCTCGCAGACGACGGTCGTGCCCGCGGCGAGCGGCCGCGCGGCGACGAGGCCGAGGCCCCGGCCGGCGACGCGCGCGCAGCGCGCGGCGCCGCGCCGCGGCCGCAGGTTCGGCGTGCGCCCCGGCAGCGGCAGCGACGGCGCGCGGACACCCGGCGACGCCGCGGCGGCCGCGGCGCGGCGCAGGAGCTGCGCCGCGGACACGGCGCCGCGCTCGCGCCGCGACCGCGCGGAGAAGCGCCGCGCGGCGCGGCCCATGTTGCGGAGTTTTTGACTCGAGTGCGCGTTTGCAAGTAGTCGACGACGGCGTACTTCGTCGACCGGTGGTAGTGCAGTTTCCGCCGCTTCTCGTCGAACGCGAACTCAGGCAGTTGCAACCGTAGGAGACGCTCAGAGCTCAGCACCGAGCGGCCATAGCTCGCTGAGATGCTCCACAATTTCTCCACAAACTTCAATGTCGACAGTTTTTCAGCGCGCCCTCTCTCGTGGACGGGAGGAGAGCCGCCGTGTTGGAGGAACAATGCGGAGCGGGAGGCGCAAGTCGAAGGACGAGCCCGGTAGCTTCGGGGCGAGGAAGCCCGTGGAGGGCAAGGGGCGGCGGTCGCGGAGCAGCGAGCCGGGGAAGAGCCGGTCCTTCAGTCTGCGGTCGCGGTCCGTCGGGCGCGCGGCCCCGCCGGGGCCCGCCGCGGCGCAGCACCCCGCGTCGCCCGGCGAGGTCTGCTACGCCGTGCGGGGCTCAAGCGCGACGCACGGCGACGACGTGCTCCCGTCCCTCGCGCCCGGCGACGCGCGGCCCGCCGACGAGCTCGACCGCCTCGGCGGCGGACTTAGCGCCGGGTGCCTCGACGCGGAGGAGGACTTCGGGGGCCTCTTCGCCCACGTCTCCGCCGCCGAGGAGAAGGCGAGCGGCAAGCACCTCGCGTCCTTCTTCGAGGGCACGCCCGTGAAGCGGCCGCCGCCGAAGCCCGCGGCGCCGCCGCCCCCCGCGCTCACGAGCCCGACGGTCGCGTCGTTCTTCGACGGCAAGCCGCCGGCGCCGGCGCCGGCCAAGCCCAAGGCGGAGAAGGTCCCCCTCCGGCGCGTCGAGGACAAGCGCCTCGTCTTCGCGTCCGCGACGCTCGGCTTCACGCTCGCGCTGTTCCAGGCTGTGTGGAAATCAAATCTTCAACTCGACTTCAATGTGAGCATACGCGACCGTTTCGACGCAAGTTCTTCGGTTGTGCTTCGAGAACTCGACGAGAGCAATCGATTCGTCCAAAAATCAGCCGAATCGACTTCGATGTGACCGAGCTAGAGAATTCTGAAGTTTGGTCAGGACCACCCAAACCAGCGGTTGATTTCCACGCAGGTTCCAGGACGGCTGGCTCCGCGTGCAGAAGGTGCGGCCCAAGTGCGACCACGGCGACGCGCTCGTGCCCGGCTTCGCCCTCATCGCCGTCGGCGACGAGCGGCTGCCCATGCCCTTTTTGAACGCGGGGTTCCCCGCGCTGCTCGAGCGCCTGCGGACGGCGCCGCGGCCGCTGCCGCTCACGTTCCGCCGCGTGCTCCTGGACGACGAGTTCGCGCCCGCGGGGGACCTGAGCTCGCCCACGGCGCCGGCGGCGGCCGACGCCGCCGCCGCGGCGGCGGCGCCGGAGGAGGCCGCGCCCGCGCGGGCCGCGCCGCCGCCGAAGGACGAGCCGTGCCCAAGGACGAGTCGTGGGAGTGCGACCTCTGCGGCAAGCGGAAGACGCTCCACCGCATGCCCGGCCCCGACGGCCCGGACACGCTCTGCAACGCCTGCGGCACGCGCTTCGCCCGGGGCCAGTCGTCGGCGCTCGCGCTCGACGCGACGGGCGACGGCGACGGCGCGTTCGCGGTCGGCGACGGCTGGGAGTGCGACCTCTGCGGCCGGGGCGGCGTCGACGAGGCGCAGCGGCGCGACGGCCCGGACGGCCCGGGCACGGTCTGCGAGCCCTGCGGGTCGCGCTTCGCCAAGGGCCGGCGGGTCCTCCTCGAGGACTCCGAGGAGACCAAGGAGGAGGCGCCGCGGCCGCGCGGCGGCTCCGCCGACTCGCTCGACAGCGGCGGCGGCGGCCCGCCGCCGGAGCCCGAGGCGCCGAGCCCGCAGCTGGACCTCGACGTCGCCTGGACCACCGCGGACGCTCCCGTCGCCGAGCCCGTCGAGGGCGAGACGTCGTTCCGCGACGGCGAGGACGTCGCCGGCGTCGACCCCTTCGCCGCGGCCTTCGCGGCGGCGGACCGCAACGAGGAGGAGGAGCCCGACGCCGCGGCCGCGGCGCCCGCGGAGCCCGCCGCCGCGGCGCCCGGCGCCGCGGAGGCCGGGGAGCCCGGCGCCGCGGAGCCCGAGGCCCCCGGCG